ATGCGATCGTTATATCTCGTTTGAAATTAATCTTATGTTGGACAGATTGTTTCTCCAGTAAAGTTATCAGCTTACAAATTTTTAAAAATAATTTATCTTTAATGATATTGATAATTTAAAGTACTTAAAGCGAGTACTATTACATGTTACTATTTATACTTAATTTATATAAATTATATGCAATAATTTTTAAAACATAAAGTATATTAGGGGATTTCTCGTTCGTCTAGGGTTTGTGAAATCAACGCAGTTGGAATGTGAACATGATACTGATATATATGATGGTATGATTACAGTGGTAAAAAACATTTTAAAGAATTTTAAATATAATCATCGCAATTATGGGTAACAGCTTTCAATAACGAGTATACATTTCTTTATACATAGTTCCTTATATATATATATTTTTTTTTCTTTTAGGTAATTCACAAACTAAAAATATTAAGCAAAGAACTATAAACATTTGTAATGTGCAACCAACGTCATTTATGACAGAAGAAGAATTCTTTAAAACTTGGTACATATGGAAAAATGATTTCCTATTATTTAAAAGAGCATCAATTAAAAGGAATTCTGACAAACAATGGGGAAACATATTATTAAATTTAATGGGCCCAATTGGACAAAATATTTATAGTGCATTTACATTTGATTCGCCAAACAATAAGGAAAATGTAGATATATTGATTCAAAAGTTTGATGAATATTACATATTTTCAGGAAAAAAGAAATTACCTTTAGAGAATGTTTATGAATACATTAACGAATTGGAGGTAAAGACATTTAAAAATTTACAACATTATTATTCTAAGATATGTATATGCAGTAAATTTATAAACTTTTATTTATATAATTCTTTTTTCTAGTTGATGATGAAAGAAAAAAACATTACAAATGGAGAAGAATTAATAAGAAAGAAAATTTTAACAGAAATTAATAAGCATCAATTTACAAATGCTGCTAATAATTTAATTCCAACATTTATATTTTCTTCTGATTTCAACAAATTAACACTAAAAGAAATTGCATGTATTTGGCAATTATATACTGATCCTGATAGCTGTACAAGATGTGATGGGATTCATTCTCCTGAGAAATGCCCAGCATTGGGAAAACAATGTTCAAAATGTAACGAATGGAATCATTTCTCAAGAAGATGCCCAAAAAATTATATTAACAATTGCTATTATTGCGGAGGTAATCACTTTTATAAAAAGTGTCCAGCTTTTAATGAAATTTGCACAAAATGTCAGAAAAAAAATCATTTTAAATGGAAATGTCAAAGCAGTCAAATACAATGTCGCTTTTGTGGTTTGAGTCATCCTGCAAATAGATCACTTTGCTCAGCAAAATATAATATTTGTTCAAACTGTAAAATTATGGGACACGTTCCTTCAAGATGCAATAAAAGATTTCATACAAATAGACTTTAAAATGTCTCATGATGTTGATGAATATTATATAAGAACACATTAAGTGCACTAAAATTTTATTAAAAGTTATTAATAATTTTATATACATTTTAATATATAAAAAATGTAATAAACTCTTTGCTATAGATATATTTACAATTAACATTATCGACATATTTTATAGAGTATTTACAATTTCCTTTATAAACCGTTTGTTTTCTTTTTCCATTTTACCCCATTGTAATCTTAACATATTACTTTGGCCTTTGGTACGATAATAGCTAAAAAATATACAAATTAGTAAATATTAGTTATTATTTTTTGCAAATGATTTACTTACTGGCGATATTCTGAACATGCAATTATACTTAATGTTGTCATTGCATGCCATGTTCCCTCAATATCTTGTATTGGAACCAAATGGGAAACCTCTAAAATATTTTCTGACTTTTCTATCTTTAAAGTTCCATATATTTTAAATACAATATGTTTTTTCTAAAAAAGTTTATTATATCATAAGTTAATTATATCATAAGAACAAATAAAGATAAATAAAAATCAAAAACTTACCCATATTGGGCAATATGCCTGATTCGAATCTTCAATATATATATCATTAATATTTAAGATTTTAAAACTAATTGGGAATACAGTATTATTTCCAGGAGTCAAAGATACAAGAGTAGCACGAGTTTCAGTTTTTGGAACAAGTTGTCCCATTGTTTGTATTGTTTTAACCCCATTTTTCTCATGATCTTCGAAAGCAACATATGTATAAATATTTTCTACTGGTATAGGAACATATGGAATATCATTATAAAACAATTTGTTTCGTGAGGCTAAACAAATTCTCCAATCCTTACTCATTTTACATTCATTTTTGCGTTTAACATCGTTATTACAAAATTTTCTTATTTGCAATTCAACATAAAGATTTCAAATAACCTAAAACAAAATTGACTTATAAATAGTTATTTTTTTATATTATTTAATATTTACAAGAATAATATAATAATAATTTCTTAAAATATTTTAAAATGTTTATATTGATTTGATTTAAATTGTTACCAACATTAAAATGAATAGATAGTTTTCTTTTACGATGTTGATACACATGATCAATTGGTCTTTTTAAAAATATTTATCGGGGAAATACCTTTAGACGATAAGATATCAACGAGTAAAGAGTTACTGAATTAATGTTTTTTTGTGCACTGTCTTCTGCAATATATTTTTAATAATCAGGTAATTATATATATGTAGTTTTAATTATTAGACAATATAATATATAAAAAAAGTATTAACTTTTTCTAAAATAAATATGTAAGTTTTTCATAAGAAAATATCAATATTTTGACAATATGTCAAAGACTATATAATATAGTATATAGTATCATATAGTATATCATATTATAAGTTACTTTATTAATTGTTTCGTGGTATGTTTATATCTAATAATACGTATTTATGTATATATATTATACACTATATTAAATTTTTAATTAATATACACTATATTAAATTTTTAATTAATATACACTATATTAAATTTCTTTTCAGATAGTTTCATTTTCAGTTGTTTTATCATTCTAATTATTGTTGATATAATAAATTACTATTATTATGGACTTATATGTACGACCTCCTGAACCCTTGTCTAATAGTGGAGATATGGGTCAGAATTGGCAAAAGTGGAAGAAAGACTTCATGATATTTATGACAGCAAGCAATTGTATAAATAAACCAAAAAATTATCAAGCTTATCTTTTGAGAACTTATATAGGAAAGATGGGTCAAGATATCATAGAAAAAATTGTTTCAAATAATTTAAAGGAAAGAGATGACATGAATATATTATTAGCAAAACTTGATAAACATTTTTGTCACCCTAAAAATGAAGTTATAGAGCGATATAATTTTTTTAACTCAAACAAAAAACCAGATGAATTGATTGAAGATTATATTATGGATTTGAAAGTATGTTGTTTCTAAAACAAATTTATGTATTTTTTACTGTGCTTTTGTTCACATATTTTTTTTAATTTTTAGAACAAAGCAAAAAATTGTAATTTTGGAAATATGACAGACAGTTTAATTAGGGACAAAATAATTATTGAATTTAAAGATAAACAACTGAGAAAAAAATTGTTTAATGTAGAAAATCTTAATTTATCAAGACTAGTATTAATTTTTAATGAACATATGTCTACAATGCAAAAGAATCAACAGAATGTACCAAAGACAAATAAAATTGATAATATATCTAACAATGATATCAAAAATCTAGATGAAGAAGCTGGTAATTCGAACAGGAATGAAAAATCAGTAAATATACCACATAGGAAAAAATGTAGTAAATGTAATCAGGGGCATCCTATGAGAGCATGTCCTGCTTGGGGTTTTAAATGTGAAAAATGTGGCAAATATAATCACTACACCAATTGTTGTCCATATAAGTTTACTGAAAAAAAGGAAGTAAATGTATGTTCCTAATTAGTACATAGATATATTAAGCTTGTCTTTTCATTTTATTAATAATTATATTTTTATTTTAATAAATTTTAGGAAAAAACAAATAGCTTTCTTAATGTAAGTCCACAAAGAGATAATCAACAGATAAATAATGAGAAATTCAAGAATTTATTTATTTATATCTAAATAAAACTATAACAATTATATAACATTTTTTATAGTATGCTACTGCTCCACCAATGTTTGATATTGATCACATATATCCAAATCTAAATTATGTGAGATCTCAAGAAGCAATGGTATGTTCAAAACAAAAAAAAAAAAGACAAATATAATAAACAAGACATTAATAGCGATTTCTTTGTCTAGAATACGATTAATTGGTCATGGATGGAAAATAAATCAAATGAAAATTTACAAAAAAGTGTGGCATCACAGGTGAGCAGTTTTTTTAAACTTGTATCTTAACATTTAATTAAATTATTCAATCTTATTTTCTACTTTTCTACTTTCTACTTTCTACTTTTCTATTTTTCAACAAGCACCCAAACAAGAACAACACAGATCAAAGAACTTCTAACATGGAAAATATACCTTGTGAAACGTCTAATAACAAATGCCGATTATCATAAAAAAGTTTAATATATTTAATATATTTAATGCACTGTATGTAATGGAAACAGTTGTCTTGTTAATAAATGACAAATAAAGGATTATATCTAACAGTAAATAAATTTTAATTTATTTATTATGTTGGTCCCTAAATTAAATTAAAATTATATTGAGATAACTGTAGTACTAAGAAAAATAAATGACACGTTAAATACGAATTATATTTCCTTTATTATAAATTAACTTCCTTTTATGTAGTCATTAAGAATTCAATTACGAATTTTAAAATCAGATTTACACGCAGAAAACACTTCGCGGATGCAAATGTACTTATTCCGAACTCTATGAACTCTGGCGCACTTTTTTCTGTTTGGCGTATTGGAGTTGGGCTATATACTCTGTATATATTCTCTTGATGTCCTTTTCGATCGGAAAGGAAAGTCTCGATGTACCATTGGAGGTGGTCAGTCCCATAAAGTAATATTTGCAATTACTTCATGGGACTAACGGTACTGTCCAACGACACATCCCTCACATTATTTTTATATATTGGTCCTGATCGTAGATTCAAGACCAGCGAAATGCGTCCCATACGCGAATAAATAAATAATTACAATAATCCCGAATGAATAATTACAATAATTCCTTTTTTATCTTTAATATGAAAAATATCAAATTTATTTATTTTTGCTTCATATGAATAATTTGTGGTATAACATTTCTTAAGTGATATAACTTATTAATAAAATAAATAAAGCACTAATCTCTTTGGTATGAGACTCACATAAATTGCAATTAAAAAGAATGTATAATATTTTATAATCAAAAATATGTTTCTTTTTCCTTACAAATTTGTTATACATTTACATGTTAAGAATACAACAATCTTGTCAAATAATGTAGTGCTTTACAACAAATTTGTATAATTATTTAAAAATATATAAAAATTTGTTTCGCTTTAGAATAATTTGTCATGATATATGAAAATGGAGTAAATACATAAATTTTGTGATATACTAATCATGTACTGCATACAAAATAATTTTTGTTCGTTTCAAATCATGTCTTCATTGTTTTAAATAATTTAATACTTTAAACGATATTTTGTCAATTGATTTATAAAACAAGTTTTTAATGTATTAGTACATCACAATAATGTCTAATGCTTAGGTTAATAATTAGATATTAATAATACTAGTATAAAATCGACTTTTCAAAGAAAACAGATATTAAAAAAGTATTTTAGATTTCAAAACAGCTTTCTAAACTTTACCTATGTTAAAAAAGATTAGCAACAATAACAGTAAAATTTGTTCAAAAATGTTATTATACGGAAAATCTAGTAAACACTTATTATAAAAATCTATAAAAATACACAGTAAAATTCTAATATCTGCATCTTAATAAAGATATTATGCATAACTTATATGTATGTCTTATGATGAGTATAAAGTCTTCTATAAATGAAAGAGTTTAAATTGTCAATGGCATTGGTAAATATGCACAATATATTAATTAACATTTGTGAATATAGATATATGCAAAACTTATACTTTATATAAATGTATTTATAAAATATGAAGTGAAAAATTTATAATATACATATATACATATATATAATATGTATATATATATATATATACATATATAAAATGTATATAGAAATGCTTTCTCATTTAGAAGTATAAAATTGTCAATCATAAATTTTTTTAAAAATCGTTATATTTTTATCATATTTAATAGCAATATATGTAATTTATTCAAAATTTCTCAATTGGATGAAATAAAAGCAAATATGTATGATTTTAATAAAATATAAAATTAATTCTCAACATATTTGTCATGTTACTGAAAGTAATTATTACTGTACTTAAAATATTACTGTACTGTTATTTTTAACAATGATAGATACTTTTTTAGTTACAAACAAAAGGTACATAATAAATGTAAATGGTAACTTTTTAATTTTCTAGTATAACTAAAGTTTATATAAATATCATTGTATGTGGTTTTTAATATACTGGCAAGACACATGATCATCAAATAATTTGAATCAAGTTACGGACGGGTCTTGACTAAAATTATCTATATCTGACGAAAGTATAAGTTTATTTAAACTATAAGGTGGCCTTTTTGGTTTTGGAGGTGGAGTAGGTGGTCTTGTTTGAACGTCAAGATCGTCTGTAGGAGTTGGAAGTTTGTTTTTTGACCATTGTCCTAAAGATCGATTAAAATTATTTAAACTACCTGTTGCACAATGTTGAACAGGCAATTCTTCTGGAAGATTATAATAATCAGCTTCGCGTGTTTTCATAGGTAAAGGCGGTGGAGGGTCATCTTCAGATGCTGTACTGTCTGTAGTACCAATGCTATCTCTGTTTCCTTTTCCTAAACTACTTGAATCCATTCCATTGTTTGTGTTTCTCAAATAATGAGATTGCCCAGATAAGCGATTGCTTATTCTTCTTTCCTTCTCTACTTCTGACCTTAAAGGGCGTTTAGGCGTTAGCTAAACAAAAATTGTTTACTATTGTTATTATCATTATCATTTTTATCATAATCATCATTGGTATTATGATTCAATTTTACCAAATATCATTATACCGAAATATTACCTCTTGACGAAGTTCAAATATTGGAGTAGTAGGAAAACTAGATGTTAATGGAGTGACTGGGGTCGATGTAACTTGTGATATATCTGCTGTAGTATACCACTGACTTGTTGGTTGATCACTTTTTGTCGACGCAATTGAATCACTCTTACGTGAACTTCTTCGTTTTGAGTCTTTTTTTTTATTTGTTCCTGGGCTTGGACTTCCTAATGCTTTTTGTAAAGATGCAGTGGATAATATGTGTGAACGTATTGAAGAATTCCTATACAATAATAATTTTTTATTATACATCTAATTTTATGAATATGTACATCAAAGATGTTATTAATGTTATTCTATTAATATAATAGCACATTATTTACCTATTGAGCATAATAGTCGATTGTGTTATAGAAGTTGTTTTATCCAGGGACAAACATGGTACAACAAATAATACAAAAAAATATCATGCAAATAGATAATAGAAGAAATAATAGTAGAAAAGAAAATGTAATATGTACAGATAATTTTTTAAATATATATGTACATATGTGGAACTTCTTAAATATTTTATTGTTAATTTTTAAAATTAGGCTAAACTAAATTAGATTAAATTAATTAAACTAAATAATATTAAAATAATTAAAAAAATTTGAAATAATAAGCTAATTAACATATTAGATATTATACATATAAAAAATAGGATACAAATAAAAATTTGTACATATATATACACATGTGTACATATAGAAAAACTGCTAAGTGCGAAGGAAGGATAACAGGATATTATGTTTATCAGGCCCAACGACAAAATTCCTGAAATTACGTATATATTATTCTAATATTCATTCATAATATTAAAAATTATATAATATTAGGTAAATATTTTTGAATTGATATTTATAATTAATGTTGATATTTTAATTGTTTCTTCTTCCAAAGTAAACAATTTAATCAATCATTTATTTAAAGTTAATTGTACTATTAACCAAAATTTACTATGAATATTACTAATCTATGATGTTGAGTTATTACAAAATAATGAGAGATGAAAAAAAACTTTTAGAAATTACTATACTATAATTGTCTTTACACATCATCATCTAATATCTTTACCTTGATAAACTGACGTTTTGAGTACCGGATGAAGATGTACTGTTGTTAAAATTGAATGAGGCGAGCGACTTGAATGTTGCAACTTGAGTTCTGGTAAGAGAGGATACCCTGGAGTGAGTTCCACAGCTGAACGATAATTATAAAGTAACCGCATAATGTTATTAAAAAAATACATGAGCTGATTTTTGCTTGCTTTTATATAAAAGTGTGTTACGAATCACAGGGAATTTTCATTTTACATGCATATTAATTTTTAATCTTTAAAAATCGAAACGATTCTTCAAACACATACAATTATAATCTCATACCAAAGTTAATGCAATTTAATAATGTAATAATAAATTAATGAAATTGTTAGTACCAATAACAGCAATATTTGCAGCAAATTACATATATGAAAATAAACATATAAATTGCTTACTCTGAATTCATAATATTTGATTCAGATAATCGATGATTCTCGCCTCTCGAAATTTGATGTCTTCTCATCGTAACAGGCTGAGTTAGATTTTCAATTTGTAAATCGCATGTCTGTAACCCATATGTAATTAATTTTTTCAAATAAATTCCTTTTCATAAAATGATCATCTTAACTTACCCTTTTGCCATACTTTGCCTCTACTTGATTTCGCATTGATATGAAACATTGTTCCAAACGCTGATGAAACGGCATCAATTCAGGAGGAGCACGTACTTTATGTAATTGAACACCAACACTAAGCAATGGAATTTGTTCAGCGATTAATCCCTCCAATTTCAAAAGATCGGAACTTTCTTCTGGATGAGTATTGCGATATTCAGAATTAAGAAATGCTTTTTCATAATTATCTATACCACCCATTACAGCTGGATCTAATATACCATTTAATTTCATACTAAGTGGATTTAGCGGAATATTATTGTCAGCTTTGTGTGCTAAGATTAAATCTCTTAATGTAGTATTTGTAGCTTCCATTGTTTCAATTGCATTACGAAGAGGACTAACTAAATAAGTCTCACTAGATGTAACAGGAAAGCATCTAAGAATGCCTGGTAATGGATGACTCGTAACGAGTACTGTTCTTTCTAACCATAATGAAGCAAACTCGTTATTGGTAATCGTTTCTTTTTCTTTATCGCCAAAATTAACAGTAGCTGAGGTTAAATCTTTCTTTGGTGCTGGTCTTGAAAATCGAAAACGTTGAACATCATTCACGCGATGATATCTTAAACATTATAAAAAGACAAAATTATAAATTCATATTATAAATTTACTGATATATTATTTAATGATATTTTACCTCAACACTGCTTCTGCTGTTATAGGTTTCCCACTAAGGCGATGTCTTTTTTCATCCATTAATGGATCTACCCTATTAATTTGGACATATTGATGACTGGATTCTAACATTTCTGAAGTGGGAGGAGATAATTTATTCATTTGTTCCGCATTTGGTAACTGATTTAATGTTCGTGAACAAAAATCACTGAGACGTTCATATTCTTTTCCACGATAAATAAACACCTATGATTAATTAATGATAATTAATACTACTAATTAGAAGACGCACAAACTTTTTATGAAATACCTTATTTTGTAAAAATGCCGGATGACCACGACCGTAGTATGCAACTCTAAAATATTCAGGTTCAGGCCTTAATTGTTTTACTATCGAATCATAAAACTTGGCCATACGTGTCAATAATACAGAAAGTTGTAAATAATCAAATGTCTCTTCTTCATATTGTGCAACTAATTCCTTACATACTGCTAGTGCACATTCCCACATTTTACCCTTATCAAAGTATTCAATCATATCATTATATAATGCTTCTTTCAATTCGCGATGCGTTTGACATGCTAAATATCTATGCGATCTTAAAAGTGGTGATAATGGTTGATCACTCCAAGCTAGTAATTGACTATGAAGTTTCAAAGAATATGCTGCTTCAGTATAATTGTCACATTCCAAATGTAGCTCACAAAGTTTATTTACATATCTGTAAAATAAGTATTAAGCATTTGTTAATTAAAAATAATATAATGAATTTTAATTAATAAACTTATTAATCGCATATATACCTAATATACATTTCATTTCTATTTATTTCAGAGTAAAATTCTAATAAATTTACAATACATAGCATTCTATGTTCCTGAGACTCGGCATGAATGATATCACGGTATTGTAATAATCGCTCCATAAGTTTAGCTACTATATCAACAAAGCGTAATCCTTGTTCTCGCATTGTTGAGTGCTTTTCACAAAGATTACCCATTACTTGAATCCAAAGCAAACGAAATTGTTCATCTCCTCTACCTCCTTCGACCTATTAAATTGTACATGTAAATAATAAACGAATGAATAGATTACAAATATTATAACATACCAATATATCTAATTTTGCAATCATTTCATTTTCATATTCTGTGAAATTAGCTTTTATGTGAGCGGGATCACGTTTAGTATCACCATATCCTTCAACAATACGTGAACTATAAAATTCACATTGCATCATATCAAAAAATATAGGTATAGTTGCCTTTCTTAATTCACTTTCTGGAATTAATGCCATTTCTAATATCGCTCCAACTAAAGCCGGTACAAACAATATTTTATGTTGACCTAGATTAAACCACATTGATCGTATTTCAAATGCTGTTTCTCTATAAAAAAAAAAAGAAAAAACAAAAAAAGAAAGAAAATGGAAAATGTTTTAATATCTGCTTTACATCAGAAAAATAAACTACTTTAATATTCCAATATATACCTTCGCATATCATTATAACGCGATACAATACGATTGCGTTTTGATGGCGTAAATGTTTCCAATTGTAAAGTTGGCTGAGTCAAAAATGCAATTGCACAATGAAAAAAGTTAGACCAAGCTTGTTGTTCAAAATCAGTGAAGAAACAATCTCTAATGGTGCCCGAGAAATAACGCAATGACTTCAAAATGATACTATTTTGAAGCATAATCATTTCACACCAGTCTCCTGGAAATACACTTTTTGATACTAAATCTTTAAATACTAATAATATTTCCATAAGGAAATCAAGTAAATCAAATTTAGTTCCAAAGTGATTTATATAAATTTCGTAATGATGTTGTGTCATTTGTCTGAAATATATATTTAATATTAGATATCTAGATTTTGTTCTTTTAAAAGGTTTTACATTCTGATTTCCTACCTAAATATTGCTAACATAACTGAAACCAAATTTCCTACTAATGGATTTTCTCTATCCATTGATATAACTGTTTGTATAATGGTCCGTAGAGCAGTGAGCATAATTTCTTTTACATCTTGGACAGTACTTCCTACATCTTTTCTAAATGTTAATTCCAGGATGTCAGATAAAATCTTGACACACAATTCTACCTATATAAACATAAAATAAAAATATTTTTCTCATCGCTATTATAAATCATCCATAAATATCCTTATAAATACAATAAAAAAAAAA